ATATTAGAAAGTAAAAAAGTTTCAGTTTTGTTTTTGCATGTGGTTGGGTATTCTGTTTGTAATAATTGTTTGGATACACTATATTTTTAATATGCTAGTTGTGATAATTTCATGCCAAGTAAAAATGCCCATAGTCATATTTTATGTTCCTAAAGTAACAGAATGACTTTCAATCTAGAAAAGACAAAAGAAATGCTAATGTAGCATTTTTTTCATTTTTTCCAAAAATTTCCGTTTTTTCCCGGAAAAAACTGGGTTTTTTCCCGAGCTTCAAAATTTCCAGAAATTTTACATTTCTAGATATGAGCTTTCGTGAGTCATTGCTCACGTCTTCAAAAGTATTCGAGGAAATTCTTTTCTACTGCTCCTCATCCTGATCTAACAAGCAATGAAATAGGATTTGATTGGAGAACCAACCAGAAGTCTAAAAAACAGAGCGGGAATTCGAATCCAGGTCGCTCCAGCCACCATATCACTCTGGCTTGCACACAGTCGTTTGTAGGCAAACTCTGCCCGCGGGGATCATGGGATCAATTACTTCTCTCCCTGAAGAGCTACTGGCTCTTTTGTTTGTAACACTGGGGGTTGGCCCTCAATTCAAGTTTGGCACGGGTTATCTTGTCCCTGAGGGGGAGCTGGAGAAAGACCCTGGGGGAAAAGAGAGAGTTCTGAGGAGAAAAGACAAAATTCTGAGGAGAAAAAAAGGGAGGCCGAAGCCATTGAGGTCTGAGGGCAAACGAAGGGTAGAAAACCCAACCCCAAACTGGAATCGGATCCCTACAAGGTTGTGGGTACAAACATGCATGAAAAGGATTAAAACAAAATATTTCTTTAATGACTCAGCACACTTTAACAGTTCATTCAAAACAACATAAGCCTTTAGGCCATACAGGTCACACACCACTGTGAAGTACACATTACAAACAGTGTAGTGTACTATTTGTACGTGGCTGCGTTGGCTTAGAGGTTAAGACGCTGAGCTGCAGACCGGAAGGTCTGTAGTTCGGCAGTTCGAGACCCCTCCAACAAAAGACTTCCCTTTAAACGTTAGAATGGAAAATGGCCTCCGCGAGATCCTGAACTCATCTAAACTCTAAAACAAGTGACCGTTTAAATGCCGGTTTTCTAAATGCGATAGCAGAGCTCCGCCTATGCGCACACCGCCGACGCTAAAAAAAACGGTGGGCGAAAAGCGGAAGCCTTGGGCAGCTTTAGAGCTGGAAGGGGGTTTAAACCAGAAGTGGCTCGACACCGGAGGAGCGATCACACGGGGGGGGATGTGGCTTTAAATGAGAGAGCTGAGAAAACACCACTTTGGGACCTGGTCACAAAATACTCCGGGTTAAAGCGGTTTTGAGCCGGAAACCAACAGCTGGGGAGGGGAGGGCAGGTGTTGACTGTGTGATCGTGCATATAAAACCCATAGCTGAACTGTCACAACGCGTCTGAACACACCCAAAGACTATCAAAATTTGTGGCAGGGTATGAGCTTTTGTGAGTCACTGTTCACTTGAGCAGTGACTCATGAAAGCTCCTCCCCTGCCACCGATTTTGTTAGTCTTTAAGTGCTGCCGGATTCCTGCTCTTTTCTGCTACTAAAGGTAAAGGTTCCCTTGCTCGAAAGCCAGTCTAGTCCAACTCTAGGGTTGCGGTGCTCATCTCCGTTTCAAAGAGCCAGCGCTGTCCGAAGACGTTTCCGTGGTCATGTGGCCGGCATGACTAGACACCAAGGCGCACGGAACGCTGTTCCCTTCCCAACGAAGTGGTACCTATTTATCTACTTGCAATTTCTTGCTTTCGAACTGCTAGGTTGGCAGGAGCTGGAACTAGAGACGGGAGCTCACTCCATCACGCGGCGCACTCGGGTCTCGAACTGCTGAACTACCAACCTTCCACAGCCTGCAGTTCAGCGTCTTAACTTTCTGCTACTACACATAGACTAACACGGCTTCCCAGCTTGATCTAGCACTATGCGAAGCAAACTGTCGCAGTTAACTTTTTAAGGTCGCGTGGGTGCATTCCAGAATAATTCTTATGAGACTTAATTTACCGTTGCAGTACAGGTATGTACACTGTGGGTGAACAAACTGCCATATTCAGTATGAGCATATTACCTCACATTCCCTTGGCTGGTGAGTAGCCCGGCGTGATACTCTCAGAGTTGTTTTGTGCCACAGGAATGATTCCTTCATAAATGAACAGTGTCTATGTGGTATTAAATTGGAACCACTGAAGGAAACCTTTTGTGGCTGAAACCTGCCTAGTCTGATTTCACCAGTTTATTTTTTCCAGTTAATAAGAACATAAGAGATGCCAATGTTGGATCAGGCCAAAGGCCCCTCCAGTCCAACACTCTGTGTCACACAGTGGCCAGAAATACCAGGGCCCATCAGGAGGTCCAGCAGTGGGGCCAGGACACTAGAAGCCCTTCCACTGTTGCCCCCCACCCCAGGCACCAAGAATACAGAGCATCCCTTGGCCCAGACCGAGAGTTCCTCTCTAAACCTTGTGGCTAATAGCCACTGATGGACCTCTGCTCCATATGCTTCTCTAATTCCCTTTTGAAGCCGTCCATGCTTGTAGCCGCCACCACTTCCTGTGGCAGTGAATTCCAAGTGTTAATCACTCTTTGGGTGAAGAAGTACTTCCTTTTATCCAATGTAACCCGACCGCTCAGAAATTTCATTGAGTGTCCGTGAGTTCTTGTATTGTGAGAAAGGGAGAAAAGTACCTCTTTCTCTACCTGCTCT